CTCTATCCTCTATCTTGTTACAGTGAGGGAAAAAAGTATTTGATCCCCTGCTGATTTTGTACGTTTGCCCACTGACAAAGAAATGATCAGTCTATAATTTTAATGGTAGGTTTATTTAAACAGTGAGAGACAGAATAACAACAAAAAAATCCAGAAAAACGCATTTCAAAAATGTTATGAATTGATTTGCATTTTAATGAGGGAAATAAGTATTTGACCCCTCTGCAAAACATGACTTAGTACTTGGTGGCAAAACCCTTGTTGGCAATCACAGAGGTCAGATGTTTCTTGTAGTCAGGAGGGATTTTGTCCCACTCCTCTTTGCAGATCTTCTCCAAGTCATTAAGGTTTCGAGCCTGACGTTTGGCAACTCGAACCTTCAGCTCTCTCCACAGATTTTCTATGGGATTAAGGTCTGGAGACTGGCTAGGCCACTCCAGGACCTTAATGTGCTTCTTCTTGAGACACTCCTTTGTTGCCTTGGTCATGTGTTTTGGGTCATTGTCATGCTGGAATACCCATCCACAACCCATTTTCAATGCCCTGGCTGAGGGAAGGAGGTTCTCACCCAAGATTTGACGGTACATGGCCCCGTCCATCGTCCCTTTGATGCGGTGAAGTTGTCCTGTCCCCTTAGCAGAAAAACACCCCCAAAGCATAATGTTTCCACCTCCATGTTTGACGGTGGGGATGGTGTTCTTAGGGTCATAGGCAGCATTCCTCCTCCTCCAAACACGGCGAGTTGAGTTGATGCCAAAGAGCTCCATTTTGGTCTCATCTGACCACAACACTTTCACCCAGTTCTCCTTTGAATCATTCAGATGTTCATTGGCAAACTTCAGACGGGCATGTATATGTGCTTTCTTGAGCAGGGGGACCTTGCGGGCGCTGCAGGATTTCAGTCCTTCACGGCGTAGTGTGTTACCAATTGTTTTCTTGGTGACTATAGTCCCAGCTGCCTTGAGATCATTGACAAGATCCTCCCGTGTAGTTCTGGGCTGATTCCTCACCGTTCTCATGATCATTGCAACTCCACGAGGTGAGATCTTACATGAAGCCCCAGGCCGAGGGAGATTGACAGTTATTTTGTGTTTCTTCCATTTGCGAATAATCGCACCAACTGTTGTCACCTTCTCACCAAGCTGCTTTGTGATGGTCTTGTAGCCCATTCCAGCCTTGTGTAGGTCTACAATCTTGTCCCTGACATCCTTGGAGAGCTCTTTGGTCTTGGCCATGGTGGAGAGTTTGGAATCTGATTGATTGATTGCTTCTGTGGACAGGTGTCTTTTATACAGGTAACAAGCTGAGATTAGGAGCACTCCCTTTAAGAGTGTGCTCCTAATCTCAGCTCGTTACCTGTATAAAAGACACCTGGGAACCATAAATCTTTCTGATTGAGAGGGGGTCAAATTCTTATTTCCCTCATTAAAATGCAAATCAATTTATAACATTTTTGACATGCGTTTTTCTGGATTTTTTTGTTGTTATTCTGTCTCTCACTGTTCAAATAAACCTACCATTCAAATTATAGACTGATCATTTCTTTGTCACTGTGCAAACATACAAAATCAGCAGGGGATCAAATACTTTTTTCCCTCACTGTAAGTGTGATCTTAATGAGTGCTTGTTTCCTTTGAAATGGGGTCTGTTTGAATAGACTAAAATGAACAGCTTTATGAGTTTAAAAAAACATGGCATGCTAGCTCCGTCCTGGTGGCGCAGTGGGCTAATTCCATGGATAGAGAACAGAAGATCATAGGTTTGAATCTCATTGATGCCAAGCCACAATAATAAAATTTTTTTTTGCATGATTAATGCCAAAGTGAATTAATTTCCACATGTCCTATCTGTGCTTGGAGTTCAAAACAACCTAAGCTAGCAGTGTTATTGAAACGTTCTCAGAACTTTATTTAATTACCTTCAAATAACCTATAATTTCCATTCTCACAACATTAAGGAATTCAAGGAATTCAGTAAAAGTTCTCAGAACCTCCCTGCAACTAAAAATGAACATAACCTGAACAGGCGAAATGTTCACTTATGTTCTCAGAACGTTTAATAAACATTCAGTTTTACCGGTCAGGAAACGTATGGCTTTGTTCCCAGAACCAATGGGAAAACAAAAACGTACGTTCCCACAACTTCCAAGGAACCAAATGTGCTATCTGGGTATGGACCTTTTCATAATTTTAAAATGGCAAGTTTGCTAAAAGTACCCTGAATGTTTGACAGAGGTGCCAAGGGATGTTCCCATGATATTGCTAAAACATTTTCTCAAAAGCGGTGAAAACAATCATTAGAACATTTTCTCGTAATATTTGTAAACCCATTATGCTCTTCTAATAATTATTATTTTAAAAAAACTCCTTGGACATTTTAAAAACATGGTATGTTGTCATGCTAATGAAACCATATTTGGACTCCATTTGAACGTTATGTAATGTTGTAGGAACGTTCAGTGCTTGCCTGGATAGTATCCCATACTACAGGAGCACAATGGTTGGTGGCAGCCCAGGGTGTTGCTTTGGGTTTACCACTGTCATCGGAGATTTGCCACTAGCTCGGTTTCCATGCAACTGGCGACAGATTTTCATGCAAATATTCTAAAATCCGAATAAAAACAATATTGGCATTTTCCCACCAGAGATGTGTTTCCATCAAATTGACCTGTTGCGGATAAAAGGCTGTGCGTGATGACATTGTGCACATAAAAATAACTTTTGCGGTTAAATTCCCATGGACCGAATAAAGAATACAAGTTAAATGGGTTTACATCGCATTTTCAACTATACTGATGGTTTTATCCCCCAAAAAACTTGCGTTACATTGCTAATGTGCCCACTCTGGTCTTGGCACATGCACTTAAGCCAACAGCTCGCAGATACAGTGCGGGTAGGATACATGACTAGATTATTATGGACAAAAGAGCGAGATTATTTTGTATTTGTCAAACCGCAGCGAAGCATCGATCATCATGTCTACAGAATAAGACCCTCGATATTTATTGGAAAGCAGCATCAATCACCGCATGCACTTTCACCACCTTGTGAAGATCATCATAATTTATTTTATCTGTAGCCTAATAAACTGCATGCTTTCTTGAGTCATAGTGGGAGGACCACTCACCATATCATCGCGTGACTCCAAGTTTAATTCGATATTATATTATATAAATATTGATATTATATCATTATTCGCGCATAAAGGACTTTCCACCACCATTTCTCGGATAATTAATTTTACCCACACAAAAAGATCACACCATGTCGAATGAACAAATTATTTGTCGCCATTTATAAAATTGTACCGAAACTACCCGATTCCATCACACCTGATTTTTTTATACAGTTTTATGTTACTTACAAAAACTGTATGGAAACGTGGTTAAAGTCATCATTCTCTTTGATTAGTTCGTGTCCTAAGGATGCCAGTAACCAGGTTTCATCCAACCTTTTCATGTCAGTAAAGTAGGCCTATATGTCGGATAAAAAAATGAGATGGTTTGGGATGAGTTGGACCACAGAGTGAAGGAAAAGCAGCCAACAAGTATTCAGCATATGTGGGAACTCCTTCAAGACTGTTGGAAAAGCATTCCAGGTGAAGCTGGTTGAGAGAATGCCAAGAGTGTGCAAAGCTGTCATCAAGGCAAAGGGTGGCTACTTTGAAGAATCTCAAATAGAAAATATATTTTGATATGTTTAACACTTTTTTGGTTACTACACGATTCCATATGTGTTATTTCATAGTTTTGATGTCTTCATGATTATCCTACAATGTAGAAAATAGTTTTAAAAAATAAAGAAAAACCCTGGAATGAGTAGGTGTGTCCAAACGTTTGACTGGTACTGTAAGTATTACATGGTATATTCCATGGCTAGAGTAAGTATACTGAAGCTGCTTGGTTATATGGTGAAACCAGTGAAACCTGTTTGAAGTTAGTATAGCCTACAGCCAAGAAGTTACACTATTTGTCTATTTATTACTAATAACATAACTTATAACAGTTGAACGTTTATTTCTTCCTATGACCCCTTATTGTAAAATATCAAAATTATGATCTCCAAAGTATCGATATTGGATCTAAATAATATGGCATGTCTAATTAGTAAAACATGTTTCAATAGCCATGAATGCATAAATTAACACATATAATTGTTTCTCTTCTCACATGGGCCATGTTCACATTAACTTCATGTGCTCAACAATAATGTAGCCTATTTGTAATGCATTATGTATAGCACAATGACACGGTTGCATACATTATTATAAATTTGTTCATTGAAAGATGTCACCTCGACCGTCGGGCTGGTGGAATAAGGAACTGCGGCGCACGTTTTCGAGTAGCCTACTCAGCCAGTGCCATGGTTACTGAAAACGCACCTCAGGGCGGCTGGCGGGTTGAGCTACTCAGCATGAGAAGGGATGAGCAGCCTACCTCGCCCCCGGGATGTGTGTGTGTGTGTGCGCGAGCGCCTTAACCACACTCTCCTTGCACGCACGCACGCACACACGCACGCACGCGGACACACAGTCCCGTTTGCCCGTGTGCGCGCCGCATTCACCTACATGGTCAAAGCGGACCTCAATGGGATGAGGATGTGCACCCGCAGAACGGACATAATAGAATCAACTATTCTTTCAGTCGTTTGACTATGACTTTTAACTCCAATAGAATACCATAAATTAATAGATATGGTCTTAGTTTGCATTGCCATAGAAACGGGCTGTGACGTAGCCTACTAGACTGAGTCTTGCAAAGGTCTTAATTACCGGACATTGTGCTGGTGCAATCTACACGTGAGTTGGAGCTGTTCCGACTCGAGGCGCGCGTGCGCTGTGCGCTCGCTCGCAAAGTGGCAGTTCAGGAAAATAGACATCATTCAATAGCACAGCACTATCGAGAACAGTCGCGCTGCAACATCTTCCCAAACCTTCTCTGTCTGCTGGTTTTAGAATAACAAACAGTGTAAAGACAAAGTGGAATAGCCTACCGACAAGTTATGGATGAAAGAATACCGCGTCTGCAAGACAGACAATTTATTGATCATGACAATTTCTTAGGGTAATTATTTCATTTTTTGGGACAGTATGGGCTCTGTCCATGAACTATTAGATGTCCACCCTTGGTACCTTTATAACTATGTGACTATCCTGCCCTTTTTATTTATTTCAGGGTGGAATACTCCTCACTCTACATGTGTAAATCGAAAAGAGGACTGAAGCGCGAAGATGGCAAGGTATGCGCTCATTTTGTCTAGTTTGTATCTCAATAAAATGTCTGATAGGTAACAAGTCATTGTAGGATAACACAACTGTCTTGACTATGTGGCACTTGATGTAGAATTAATCTAACGCTGTCATTCGTTTCTGTGGTCCTAATCAAATGTATCTATCTTATTGTTCCCAGGACGCGTACAAGTTACCACACCGACTGATAGAGAAGAAGAGGAGAGACAGAATCAATGAATGTATCGGACAGCTGAAGGATTTGTTACCCGAACATCTCAAACTGACGGTAAGCTTTTGCAATTATGAAGGATGATGTATAGCCTAATAATGTGTGTTTTTATTTTAATGTATTGTTAAATGATTGTTGAGTAATTGGATCTCATGGTTTTCCCTTTCAGACGCTCGGGCATTTGGAGAAAGCAGTTGTTCTCGAGTTAACTTTGAAGCATTTAAACGCTTTGACTGCAGTCACTGAGCAACAACACCAGAAGATTATTGCTTTGCAGAATGGTAAATTGTTACATAACCTCCAATGACTGTTCAATATTTGACTATTATAGGTTTCTCTACCTAGGCTACTTTGGATTTAGAGTTGGGCTTGGATAGGCTGTGCGTAAAAGTTATTGTAGCCTAAATCAAATTCGATAGGCCTATTGGTTGTGTTCTCACAGTTGATTACGAATCAATTCTGTATTGTAAATTGTGTCGTTTCTAACTTTAGATGCATGTTTTCCACGGGATCGATCTATGAAGACGTCCATTCACGCTGATTTGGATGCGTTCCACTCGGGGTTCCAAGCATGTGCCAAAGAGGTCCTGCAGTACCTCAACAAGTTCGAGAACTGGAATATGCGCGAGCAGCGGTGCGCGCAGCTCATCAACCACTTGCACAAAGTATCTGCGCAGTTTCAGCCGGGTGCGCCATTGCTCAATCCCCAGCTACCTGCCGGAGACGTGCAGGAGCGTGATAGCCAGAAAGTGGAAAGCCAAGCCGGACATGACCGCGTATCGGTCATACAGAGGAGCCACGCGGAGCTTAACGAGAATGACACAGACACAGACAGTGGATACGGGGGTGAGGCGGAAAAGAACGATGGGAATAAAGGATGTGACCGTAGCAAAGCAGTAAAGATAAAGCAGGAGTTCGGGGATGACCGCGCTGCCAAAAAACCAAAGATGAACTGGGCTGGAAACAGCACGACGGGCGCAGACACGACCACCAGACCTGATCTGGCCTTTATTAACTCTTTGATGGGAATAACTGGCGTGGGACAGCAGACTCCATTTTGCATGCCATTTTACTTAATCAATCCCTCGGCAGCAGCGACCTACATGCCGCTATTCGACAAAAGTAACCTAGAGAAGTTTGTGTACCCTGCTGCGGCAGCAGCAGCTCTCTCTTCCCCGTTTCCATGGTTATACCCCAGCCTTAACTCACACCCGTCGGCAACTGCGGCCGCTGCTGCTGCCGCAGGTGCTTTCTCCGGCATGTCGACGGAGAAGAGCTCTGGATTCGGTTCCAACTCCAAGCACTCTCTCTCTGACGACAGTGACATGTCAAACGTGGCAGAGCCGGGCTCACCTGAGGAGAGGGAGGACAACCCTGAGAATGATGATTATGATGATGATGATGATGATGATGATGATGATGATATTAGGGAACGACTCCCCAGACAATGAAAATGACTGTACATAATGAAGATAACATTTTATTTTATTTATTGTAAAAACTGGCTAATTTACATGTGTAGCCTATATCCTAATTTGATTTGGATTCAGCATATTATCTTGTTTAGGATTTTCTGATAGCTGTCTGTTTTTACCTTATTTTCGTATTTTCGATTATTTTAATTGATAGTAGGAGTTTCGAGACAAGTTTCACAGTTGAATTTCTCATGTATTTTGGCCAGGCAGGGGGATGTTGTGACAGTCTGTGCCTTTTGCACTTAATGCAAGAATAATCTGAATGATAATCAACAATGATTGACAATAACAACATGCACAAGTCTGTTATTCTACAGTCCTAGGGTATATTGAGCTGGAGTAGTTTTTCCATTGACACAAACTTTAAAACTGGCAATATCAGTGCCAAAACATCAAGATAAACAATCCGCTTCTATGGGCAGTATTGTCCTCAGATCCCCAATCAGCTACTAGTCACATTGAATGTATGGAATTGCAAATGACCTCCACAAAGGTTATAATCAACATTGCTGACTGACTGTACAGTCTGACTAACGGTGATAGGTGTGGTTTGATCCATTTCCTATGTTTTAAAATGCTAGAGAGAGTACCCTCCATACACACACACATTACTAACTAACTGGATAAATGACAGGAGTAATCATCTTACTACATATTATGTAGTTCCCTATCCATGCCAACACATTTTTATTTGTCTATTTAGTCTTCTGGAATTTTCAATCACCTCCTCAAATACGTTTTTCTGACTGCTGATATTTAGCATATTGAAAAAAGCACTTAATTGGAAGATGCTGTTTTATGACAATTGACAATTATGTCCCTGATTGGTTGGCATCTCGGCACACATAATGAGACACCGCGTGACCTGTCGGCTACCTCCAGCAAAATGATACTAGGTATAATAGCACCTTATAGAACTTTGATATTGAATGTAACTACCTGTGTATTTCTTAGCTCTGGAAGTTTGTATGTATAGGATGAACATCTAGTTCTTTACTATTTGAGAGATAAAGTGCACTTGTTTCTGCTTTTGGAAAATCCCCCCTGTTCCCTCCCAACACTCACTTTCCAACTATTCTAGTCCATCACTGTATCTATTCTTAGAAAATCACTAAACTAGAGGGCATACATTTTACTCCAGACTGTACAGACTGTGAATGTGTTTGAAGAACCAGATACTAGGCTACTACAGATATTGAGGCTTTTTAGTGATTTTGTGCGGACCTTAAGCCACTAATCATAGCTCATTTTGGGTAATAAGTCTTATTGTACTTATAAAGCTACATGATACAACTGATACTCAGCCTCAGAATGAAGACGTAGCTGTAGTATCACATTCTAACACAAACACATACAGGATAGGTGTATGTAGATGGAGAGGTAACTTTGGTCTGGGGACCGATAGTTCTGATAAATGTCCTTTTAAAATGTACAATCCTTGTTTTTTTCTAAGAGATTAATTCCTGCAAATGTGGTGTTTACTATGTGTTTAGAGTTTCTTGTGTGAGTGACTACATTTAATTTGCATACCCAATTTTGCTTATTTTTAGCGTATGTTCAGCAGCTCTTGCCTCAAATCCACTATGTTTTAAACCAGGGCTCTCCAACCCTATTCCTGGAGAGCTACCCTCCTGTAGTTTTTCACTCCAACCCCAGTTTTAACTGACCTGATTCAGCCTATCAACCCGCTCATTATTAGAATCAGGTGCACTAGATTAGTGTTGGAGCAAAAACCTACAGGACGGTAGCTCTCCAGGAACAGGGTTGGAGAGTTTAAACTGTCATCAAAAGTGGCATGTGTGTGTAAATAATTTTGTGAATATACTATGGAATATATGTCTGATGTCAATGTCCAAAAATATTTAACCGAGCAACTGTTGCATAGTTTGTTAATGCTTTACACATATGCTGTTCTAAATTATTGCTGACAAGTTGCAAAATAAATATCAGACCAAAAACTATTTGGATGTCTCATAGTTTGTTTTTTGTTGTTGTTTTTTTTTAACCACAAAATGGATTGTTTCCTTCATAGACACACTATATATACAAAAGTATGTGGACACCCCTTCATATTAGTGGATTCGGCTATTTCAGCCACACCCATTGCTGACAGGTGTATACAATCAAGCACACAGCCATGCAATCTCCATAGACAAAAATCACGCTTCACCATCTGGAAGTCCGATGGACAAATCTGGGTTTGGCGGATGTTAGGAGTTTGGTGGCGGAGGAATAATGGTCTGGGGCTGTTTTCCATGGTTTGGCCCTTAGTTACAGTGAAGGGAAATCTTAACACTAAAGCATACAGTGACATTCTAGACGATTCTGTGCTTCCAACTTTGTGGCAACAATTTGGGGAAGGCCCTTTCCTGTTTCAGCATGACAATGCACCCGTGCACAAAAGCGAGGTCCATACAGAAATGGTTTGTCGAGATCGGTGTGGAAGAACGTGACTGGCCTGCACAGAGCCCTGACCTCAGCCCCATCGAACACCTTTGGGATAAATTGAAACACTGACTGCGAGCCAGGCCTAATCGTCCAACATCAGTGCCCGACTTCACTAATGCTCTTGTGGCTGAATGGAAGCAAGTCCCCGCAGCAATGTTCCAACATCTAGTGGAAAGCCTTCCCAGAAGAGTGGAAGCTGTTATAACAACTCCATATTTATGCCCATGATTTTGGAATGAGATGTTCGACGAGCAGGTGTCCACATACTTTTGGTCATTTAGTGTAGCTATAACCAATGCTTTCATTGATAGAAGGCATGCTAGAGATGATCACAAACCATGCAATGATGTACTAACAATTGACAAATTCACTTATAGTGTATTAAAGTAGTCAAAAGTTTAGTATTTGGTCCCATATTCCTAGCATTCAATGACTACATCAAGCTTTTGACTTTACGAACTTGTTGGATGCATTTGCAGTTTGTTTTGGTTGTGTTTCAAATTAAGTTTTGCCTAACTGAATGGGGAATAGTATATTCTGTCATTTTTGAGTCACTTTTATTGTAAATAAGAAGATGTTTCTGAACACTTCTACATCCATAATCATGGTAGCATCCACATTTAATTGGGTCTCCAACAACAAGTGGTGTGAACAAGAAGTCATACTGTACACCCTGATACTGTTAAGTCCTAATGTTGATCTGTATTGTTACTAGCTCTCTAATCAGCTGACATCAAGCCAGCTGTGGAATGTATAGTAAGCTAAGGCTTAGAGCTAGTGTCATCCCACTGGGCACAGATGTCAATTCAACGTCTATTCCATCATTGAAATGATGTGGAAACAACGTTGATTCAACCAGCGTGTGCCCAGTGGGATGTGATAAGAGAATGATGAAGTATGCTTACACTTACACTCACTCTGACTCTGCACTGGCTGATGCAAAACAACGTTTTTTCATTACTTTTGTGCTGTTTTGGCAAGATCAACTCCAGTGAAAAGGGCAAAAGGGCTTATGTTCCTAATAACACATTTGAGTAGGCCTAGTGACAAAGACCACCCACAGTACCTTAGGTCTATGTTGTCACAATTAGTTGGATACCTTGATATCTTATTAGTTTGTTATTTCTGAACACAGGCATTACTGGAAATGTCACCAATTGTCACTATTGTACATTTTGGTATCGACCAAATACAGGTGGTTCATACCTAGCCTTGATCTCTAGTTTTTAACATGACATTTGTGTTTCTCTGTTTGGATTGTTAGGTAATATTTCAAAAACAATTGTAAGACTAGTTGATAACCACCCCTAAACTCAAAGATGTGTCAGCTATTTGAATCAGACAGTAATAAGCTGATTTCCAGTCACTTCTTACTTCTGTTTTAGTCAAGGTCAGTGAAGCACAGACACAGCCTTGGGGTTTCCCTGTATCAGTAATGCTCTGCATAGTAATGGAAAAGTAGTCTCGTAGTTAAATATTCCAAACGGCAACATTTCCACCCTCACTGGCGAAACCACAATACTTTCTGTCTGACTAAAGCTTTACACAGTTGCCACCAGAATTCAGGATACTAGTGAAAGTATCTAATAGGCTAAAAGATTAGGAGGGTAAACAACTAGTATGTATATCAAGTCAACTTATTCTAACCCTTACGAAAAAAGATTGCAGTTAGAGTGCAGTATAACTGCAGTTCAACTGCAGTACACTGCAGTTATTCTGCAATTACTGTGTTCAAAATACCACAGTCGACTGCAGTTACTGCACTTTTACTGCAGTTTCAAAGCTGCAATCTTTTTCTGTAAGGGAATCAAGTCAACCCCACTGATTTCTATAACACAATTCACTGTAAAACTCTTCATAAACCAGACATGAGTTTAAAATGAGAAATTTGTCAGACTGAACTTTGTTGCCTGAAGTGTTTTCATGACCGCTAATAGTTTAGAAATACTCCACTAGGTTATTATTATGCAATGATTTCCCACATTGCCACCTAGAACCACCAGAGCCATCCAGTTCAGTCGATGGCTTTGTGATTATTGGACGGACATCGCCATCTAGTGGAGATACCCACAACACGTTTGCCATCTCCATCATCAAGTAGCTCCCACTTCTTTCACCATAGGGCTTTTCACACTACTGAGCCAAACTGAGGCAAGCCAAACCAAGTTGTACAGAGCTGGCCTTGTTACACGTCCACCTTAATTGCTTACACTGTACTGGAAAGTACAATGTAAAAAGAAAATATCTGAGCCAGCAGTTTGGTCCGGGTCGGCATGGTAGGGTGAAAAGGGCACGTTTCTCCGGTGTACTCTTCCTATGTCCTGTGCCTCTTTCAGTTAAAATTTTATAGAATATCAGACTCATGGACAACTTCATATAAGCCGACAAAAAGTTTGTCACATTGTTTTATTATAATAATGCAATCCATGTCACATCAGCAGCCAGTAGCCATACATCTCTGAACAATTTGCTGTGAATTAAGGCAGAAAAATAAAACATGTATGTACAGTTTAATTCTTAACATGGGAGAGCACAGGACATAAAATGTTAAACACTGACCAAAACAACCTATGGAAACATACAAGTGGTTTCTTACAGCTACAGTGGCTTGCGAAAGCATTCACCCCACTTGGCATTTTTCCTATTTTGTTGCCTTACAACCTGGAATTGAAATGGATTTATTTTGGGGTTTGTATCATTTGATTTACACAACATGCCTACCACTTTGAAGATGCAAAATATTTGTTTTTATTGTGAAACAAACAAGAAATAATACAAAAAAACTGAAAACTAGAGCGTGCATAACTATTCACGCCCCCAAAGTCAATACTTTGTAGAGACACCTTTTGCAGCAATTACAGCCGCAAGTCTCTTTGGGTATCTCTCTATACGCTTGGCACATCTAGCCACTGGGGTTTTTGCCCATTCTTCAAGGCAAAACTGCTCCAGCTTCTTCAAGTTGGATGGGTTCCGCTGGTGTACAGCAATCATACCACAGATTCTCAATTGGATTGAGGTCTGGGCTTTGACTAGGCCATTCCAAGACATTTAAATGTTTCCCCTTAAACTACTCTAGTGTTGCTTTAGCAGTATGCTTAGGGTCATTGTCCTGCTGGATGGTGAACCTCCGTCCCAGTCTCAAATCTCTGGAAGACTGAAACAGGTTTCCCTCAAGAATTTCCCTGTATTTACTACCATCCATCATTCCTTCAATTCTGGCCAGTTTCCCAGTCACTGCAGATGAAAAACATCCCCACAGCATGATGCTGCCACCACCATGCTTCACTGTGGGGATGGTGTTTTTGGGGTGATGAGAGGAGTTGGGTTTGCGCCAGACATAGAGTTTTCCTTGATGGCCAAAAAGCTCAATTTTAGTCTCATCTGACCAGAGTACCTTCTTCCATTTGTTTGGGGAGTCTCCCACTATGGCTTTTGGCGAACACCAAATGTGTTTGCTTATTTTTTTCTTTAAGCAATGGCTTTTTTTCTGGCCACTCTTCTGTAAAGCCCAGCTCTGTGGAGTGTACGGCTTAAAGTGGTCCTATGGACATATACTCCAATCTCCGCTGTGGAGCTTTGCAGCTCCTTCAGGGTTATATTTGGTCTCTTTGTTGCCTCTCTGATTAATGCCCTCCTTGCCTGGTCCGTGAGTTTTGGTGGGCGGCCCTCTCTTGGCAGGTTTGTTGTGGTTCCACATTCTTTCCATTTTTTAATAATGGATTTAATGGTGCTCCGTGAGATGTTCAAAAGTTTCAGATATTTTTTAAATAACCCAACCCTGATCTGTACTTCTCCACAACTTTGTACCTGACCTATTTGGAGAGCTCCTTGGTCTTCATGGTGCCGCATGCTTGGTGGTGCCCCTTGCTTACTGGTGTTGCAGACTCTGGGGCCTGTCAGAACAGGTGTCTATATACTGAGATCATGTGACACTTATATTGCACACAGGTGGAGTTTATTTAACTAATTATGTGACTTCTGAAGGTAATTGGTTGCACCAGATCTTATTTAGGGGCTTCATAGCAAAGGGGGTGAATACATATGCACGCACCACTTTTACGTTATTTATTTTTTAGAATTCTTTTTCCTTTCACTTCACCAATTTGGACTATTTTGTGTATGTCCATTACATGAAATCCAAATAAAAATCAATTTAAATTACAGGTTGTAATGCAACAAAATAGGAAAAACACCAAGGGGGATGAATACTTTTGCAAGGCACTGTATACAGCCACCGACTTTACCTTAAACGGGAAATAAATGATCCAATTATGGTAAGTATCTATCATAAATAAATGTCAAACTACCTGTTTCTTCCATAAACATCTTACTCACACAATGAACAGAGCTATCCTGGTCCCAGATCTGTTTGTGCTGTATTGCCAACACCTATGGTCACTGGCGTAACAATGACTATAGGAATTGGCAAGACTACAAACACATCTGGGACCAGGATAGAACAGAGCAGGGTCATTGTTGGAATAATACCCGGTAAATCTTTACATTAGTTGTATACAGTATATGCAGAAATAAGTATGAGTATAAGGCACTTGTTAAGAACTTATTAAAAGCTGAGTAGCAGTGAACCATTCGTTTATCAAAACCAATAAGAGGTGTTCGGTACAATGAGGGCAACTATTGTATACATCATGTAAAAATTGGTTCATTTGATCAATTCTTTAACACAAAAACTAAAATGGAGTGTTGTTTAGTCAGTGGTGTTATAGTTAGTGGTGTGGTGTTGCATTACCCTGGTTCCAGGTCAGTTTGTGCTGTTTTGGCAACTCCTCTGGTCATTGTCACGCCAAGGAATTGGCAAGACAGGAAAAACAGATCTGGGTCATTATCCACAGAGCTTCTCAGAGTATGGGTCTCCTCTTTCTATGTATTCATATTCCTTATGATATAAAAGATAAAAACTGATCCTAGATCAGCACTTGTACTCTGAGATGCTTTATGAATACAGGCCCTGGGACCAGTCTAGTTTTGCATATATGCCAATTGAGCCAAACCACTCCCTCTTAGGATCTTACAAAAGTTGTTTTACTGTCACTTAGGGCTCGATTTAATCCATAGCGCTGAAGCTCTGCACTGTAGCATGATTGAAAAGTAAAGGTAATTTCCAATTGAGCCGACATATGCAGCATTTACCGTGAATGCAGTCTTCTCGAATGCAGAAACATTGCCTTTAAATTGCTATCGAGCTGTATCACAGGTCAGCGCTATGGATTAAATCGAGCCTTTAGGTTTCAATAAGTATTCAGATATGGCTACTTGGAAAAACAAACACATGCAATAAGACCTCTAATCTTTGGCCCCATTTCTTTACAGATTAATAAGATTAAACATTTTGGCAAAGTAATATATATTTTCAACACAAGATAGACGAGAAAACTAACACTTTCGGTTCATTTGATACTGTTACATTAACAATACTGCATAAGTGTACATACACAGTTCTGCTTCTTCCTCAGCAATTGGAAATAAATGTGAACGGTGACCAAACTTTATACTATCTACAGTATTCTACTATTTCAATAAGTTAATATGTCAGTTGACATATCACATATCGTATATATGCATTGACAATAATTTACATATCAGCACTTTTGGACAGTTCATAGGCTAACATCTACCCTTTCTTCAGTAACAAAGCCCTGAACCATTGGTTGTATAACTGTGCATAGTGTATAATGACAATCGGAACAGAGCAGAAACAGTCTGCCTGTTGGTTGTTGTGAGCTGACGGTCAAAGTTTGATATGATACAGATGCAGTATAAATGCTTCAGAAACAGACATCCTTTAAAAGCTACTTTGCCCCATAGGGCCACCGTATAGACATCTCATCCATGACTCAATGCAGTCCATACATCAATCAATACACTGGATAAAATACAATTATTTACCACAGAATCACTAAACTCTTCAAATATATAGTTCACAGATTTCAACTGCAAGATTTTCAGTTTGGAGCGATATCTTCCAAAATGCAAACATTCATAAAAAATAGTATCGAACCTCTTTACTGTATGTTGATATAATGGATTAAATATTAATGTTTCAAATGTAGCTACATTACATCTTTATTAATTAAAATGATAATAAAGTAATTGCATATGCTTTAAAGGGATGAAAACAATGATGATGCTGATGATGATAATGACGCATCACCTTTAGTCCCAAGGTTTCCATAGAGAGAAAATCATTTGGGTTATGACACACGGTGCTCATGTCTGTTGCTATATTGTTTATTTCAACTATCTCTGTTTGTCCATTCAAGCACCCTGCAGTCAGATAGGTTACCCATAGTTTTTCCTTCATCATTGGAGCTATCATCGTCATATGTTGGCCCATGTCGGAGACATAACCATATAATCTCTTTAATTGTTCCTGTTCTCCATGTTATGTAGGTAACAGAACAGAGCAAGGACCGGAGAGTGCTACTGAGGTATCCTGTACTTGGATGTCCCATCACAGGGATCCTTTAGGACTGGTCCTAGATCTGTATTTAGCCAACTTCTTTGACTAGGAGTGACTGGGTGTTGAGGAGTTGGCTAAAGTACACACAGATCTGGGATCAGGTCTTAGTGGTACCAGGCTACCTTTAGGGTGGTATTCAGGGGTCCAGCTAGCAGGGGAACACAGTCACCCCAAGCGTGTCCTCTTTTCTCTTACACGTAGATCCCTTCTGGGTTTAGGCCAGATGTCAGCGGACTGTGCAGGACCCGAAGGTGACCAGGCATCGGGTGAAAGGAGACGGGACGCTTCAGGGAACCAGACAGAGGAACTAAGTCTGAGAGAGAGAGAGAGAGAGAGAGAGAGAGAGAGAGAGAGAGAGAGAGAGAGAGAGAGAGAGAGAGAGAGAGAGAGAGAGAGAGAGAGAGAGAGAGAGAGAGAGAGAGAGAGAGAGAGAGAGAGAGAGAGAGAGAGAGAGAGAGAGAGAGAGAGAGAGAGAGAGAGAGAGAGAGAGAGAGAGAGCATAGCCTTGCTATTGAGAGAGGCCGACAGGCAGACCTGGCTCTCAAGAGAAGACAGGATATGTGCCCACTGCCCACAAAATGAGGTGGAAACTGTGCTGCACTTCCTAACCTCCTGCCAAATGTACGACGACATAAGATACACATATTTCCATCAGATTACAAGGACCCAAAAAGGATTTGATAAAACAAATATCAATAAGATTCCGTATCTGTTAGGTGAAATACATTAACATTTTTGTGATTTAGCAGATGCTCTTATCCAGAGCGACTTACAGGAGCAATTAGGGTTACGTGCCTTCCTAAAGGGCACATCGACAGATGTTTCACCTAGTCGGCTTGTGGCTTCAAACCAGCGACCTTTCAGTTATTGGCCCAACGCTCTTAACCTCTAGGTTACCTGCCGCCCCATACATATACAGTGGGGAAAAAAAGTATTTAGTCAGCCACCAATTGTGCAAGTTCTCCCACTTAAAAAGATGAGAGAGGCCTGTAATTTTCATCATAGGTACACGTAAACTATGACAGACAATTGAGAGAAAAAAATCCAGAAAATCACATTGTAGGATTTTTAATGAATTTATTTGCAAATTATGGTGGAAAATAAGTATTTGTTCACCTACAAACAAGCAAGATTTCTGGCTCTCACAGACCTGTAACTTCTTCTTTAAGAGGCTCCTCTGTCCTCCACTCGTTACCTGTATTAATGCCACCTGTTTGAACTTGTTATCAGTATAAAAGACACCTGTCCACAACCTCAAACAGTCACACTCCAAACTCCACTATGGCCAAGACCAAAGAGCTGTCAAAGGACACCAGAAACAAAATTGTAGACCTGCACCAGGCTGGGAAGACTGAATCTGCAATAGGTAAGCAGCTTGGTTTGAAGAAATCAACTGTGGGAGCAATTATTAGGAAATGGAAGACATACAAGACCACTGATAATCTCCCTCGATCTGGGGCTCCACGCAAGATCTCACCCCGTGGGGTCAAAATGATCACAAGAACGGTGAGCAAAAATCCCAGAACCACACGGGGGGACCAAGTGAATGACCTGCAGAGAGCTGGGACCAAAGTAACAAAGCCTACCATCAGTAACACACTACGCCGCCAGGGACTCAAATCCTGCAGTGCCAGACGTGTCCCCCTGCTTAAGCCAGTACATGTCCAGGCCCGTCTGAAGTTTGCTAGAGTGCATTTGGATGATCCAGAAGAGGATTGGGAGAATGTCATATGGTCAGATGAAACCAAAATAGAACTTTTTGGTAAAAACTCAACTCGTCGTGTTTGGAGGACAAAGAATGCTGAGTTGCATCCAAAGAACACCATACCTACTGTGAAGCATGGGGGTGGAAACATCATGCTTTGGGGCTGTTTTTCTGCAAAGGGACCAGGACGACTGATCCGTGTAAAGGAAAGAATGAATGGGGCCATGTATCGTGAGATTTTGAGTGAAAACCTCCTTCCATCAGCAAGGGCATTGAAGATGAAACGTGGCTGGGTCTTTCAGCATGACAATGATCCCAAACACACCGCCCGGGCAACGAAGGAGTGGCTTCGTAAGAAGCATTTCAAGGTCCTGGAGTGGCCTTGCCAGTCTCCAGATCTCAACCCCATAGAAAATCTTTGGAGGGAGTTGAAAGTCCGTGTTGCCCAGCGACAGCCCCAAAACATCACTGCTCTAGAGGAGATCTGCATGGAGGAATGGGCCAAAATACCAGCAACAGTGTGTGAAAACCTTGTGAAGACTTACAGAAAACGTTTGACCTGTGTCATTGCCAACAAAGGGTATATAACAAAGTATTGAGAAACTTTTGTTATTGACCAAATACTTATTTTCCACCATAATTTGCAAATAAATTCATTAAAAATCCTACAATGTGATTTTCTGGATTTTTTTTCCTCCTTTTGTCTGTCATAGTTGACGTGTACCTATGATGAAAATTACAGGCCTCTCTCATCTTTTTAAGTGGGAGAACTTGCACAATTGGTGGCTGACTAAATACTTTTTTCCCCCACTGTATCATTGACATAAATATACAGAAATACAGCAGTTTGCAATCATCGCAGCAAAATGTGTGACCTGTTGCAAAACGAAAAGGGCAACCAGTGGAGCAGAAACACAAATAAATGAAAAATATATTTATCTGATTATTTATTTTCCCTTGCCATTTGTACTTCTACTATTTGCACATTGTAACAACACTGTACATACAGTAGTTAATATTAATATAACATTTCAAATGTCTTTCTCTCTTGAATTCTTTTTGTGTTTAATGTTAACTATTAATTTGTTATTGTTTTTTCACTTACTTTGGCAATGTAAACATATGTTTTCCATGCCAATAAAGCCCCTTTGAATTGAATTGAGAGAGAGAGAGAGACAGAAGGGGACAGAGAGGGAGAGAAGGGAAAGAGAGAAGGGGGAGGGAGAGAGGGAGACCATGCAGTGTGTGCATTTGTTCTGCCCCCTCAAGTGACACTTATGGTCTCTGTGCCAATGGCTGCCTAGATACGGCTGCCGGCCGGCCCAGCACCACACACTCCGCCACCTCAGCTCTCCCTCTCTCCCTCCATCATCATATTTTTTAAAACATTAAATTTTTTGTCATTTAGCAGACGCTACTTACAGTAGTGAGTGCATACATTATCATATTTGTTCGTACCGGTCCCCCGTGGGATCATATCCCTCCATCACTCTCTCCCTCCATCATCATATCCCTCCATCACTCTCTCCCTCCATCATCATATCCCTCCATCACTCTCTCCCTCCATCATCATATCCCTCTATCACTCTCTCCCTCCATCATCATATCCCTCCATCACTCTCTCCCTTCATCCTCCCTCCATCCCATGCTCAGCGGTTTCTGTGGTGATGGACTCAGTGGACTGTAGTCTTGCCTACCAAGAGGCTAGGCTGGCCTGGCAGAGAGAACAGAGTTAGACAGAGAGCTAAGAACACTGTGAACACTGAGGTTTGTCAAAAGGCTATGGGAGCTTGTTACAGGAGGGGGTCGCAGTTCCGGAGCGACCCACTAGGTGTCATCCTCCGACAACCTTAGGTACCTCCTCACTCACAGTCTGGACTAATCATTATCTTATTGGTGTCACCTGTGTCTACCTGTTCACCTGTGTATTTATGCCCTCACTTCCCTGTGTTCCCTTGCTCTGTTTTCTCTGCTAGTTCTCGATGCCAAACAGTACTAATCAGTGTCTGATTGCGAGACGTATGTACAGGTACTTGAGAAGTGTTCTCCCTGTTTCATTGTTGTTTTCAGTCATAGTTAGTATTTCATATGTTTGCTGTCAGCCTGTTTTTGGAGACCAATTTGCTCCTCCTTTATTTTCTCGTGACAAGTCTGTTATTTTGTATCCTGGTTTTCAGATCACCAGTAAAGATCCTTGTTTCACCATCTCTGCCTACTGTCTACTGTCTATCCTGCACCGCACCTGGGTCACACCTCACACCAACCCTTACAGGAGCTTACACAAACTATTCTAGTCACCAGGTGGTCTTGGAGAACCTTTGAATACCTTAGAAGTTCAGTCTCTTTATATAAAACTTGAATTTTGAGTATTCGGAGGTGTAGGATAATGCCCAAGTGTTCCATGTTAGAGACTGTAAAGATATTTGTTTTATGCGATAAACCAGACCTTGTTAAAATATCCTCTATATCAACCTACGCAACAGTACACCTTTAAATCCCACCTCACCCACCAAGTTTTCCCAGATCACTTATGCAAATGATTTTTTATAACTGTGCATGACCATGTGCTTACCATTACCTCATGTAAAGGGGTTTCTCTTGAGAGAGAGAGAGAGGGAGAGACAGAGAGATACAGAGAGAGAGACAGACAAAAAGAAACAGAAAGAGAGAGAGAGAGAGAGAGAGAGAGAGAGAGAGAGAGAAAGAAAGAAAGAAAAGAAAGAGAGAGGATAGGTTACTACAATCGCTTAAAGAAATTCACTCAAATCCACTTTTCAGATTTGAATGTTCCTCTATGCGTTACTTGATCTGACCACAGGGTGTCAGCATTGAGCCGTGCAGGACACCAGCCATAACAGTTAACTTAATGGCCAAACACAGAGGGCTCTTGCTGATTGAACACACATGTCCTGCTAGGTTATTAGAAGGACATGAACATTAAACTCCTTACTTTACATAATGGAAAACCATTAGCATGAAGTCTAATATAAATACAAGAGTAACTCTTTTACATGAGGTAATGGTAAGCACATGTTGGAAAAGTGATCTGGAAAAACTTGGTGGGTGAGGTGGGATTTAAAGGTGTACTGTTGCGTATGTTGATATAGAGGATATTTTAACAAGGCCTGGTTTGGTGCATAAAACTAATATTTTTACAGTCTCTAACATGGAACACTTGGGCACTATCCTACACCTTCGAACTCCATTTAAAATTCAAGTTTTATATAAAGAGACTGAACTTCTAAGGTATTCAAAGGTCTCCAAGACCACCTGGTGACTAGAATATTGTTTGCGTAAGCTCCCATAGCCTTTTGACAAGCCTCGGTGTTCACAGTGTTCTTAGCTCTCTGTCTAACTCTGTTCTCTCTGCCAGGCCAGCCTAGCCTCTTGGTAGGCAAGACTACAGTCCACTGAGTCCATCACCACATAAACTACTGAGCATGGGATGGAGGGGGATGAAGGGAGAGAGTGATGGAGGGATATGATGATGGAGGGAGGGAGAGTTGGAGGAGTGTGTGATGCTGGGCATGCCGGCAGCCGTATCTAGGCAGCAATTGGCATGGAGACCATAAGTGCCACTTGAGGGGGCGGAACAAATGCACACACTGCATGGTCTCCTTCTCTCCCTCCCTCCCTCCCTCTCTCCCCCCTCTCTCTGTAGCTGAGTCATCCTATCTCAGCAGGCACACAGTGAAAGAGAACTACTGTAGAAAAGCCTAAGTGGAACGGATTGAGTGACCAGACAAACAGAGCAGTGGAAGAGCAGAATGGTGTTTTTTCATTAAAATTAGATGGCCTGATTTCATTTGAAGGTTTAAAGTATTTTTTGCACAAATCTGTGCTCTTTTGCTGCACGAAAATGTCGCCCGACAAGTCACATGGCATGTGAATGCACCTCCTGCACAGTGCTTAGAGATGTAGCCAATGTCATGAAGTTGTAAATAATGCCTTTTTATTCAGTGTGGACAGGTTTGTTAGTGATTTTGTTTAATTAATCAGCAATAAATCACATAATATGTGATTTTGCCCTTTCAATGAATAAGCAATACTCAGCAATATGATGTGACCAAGAGCAGTAGTGAAAACAAAATATATTGCAGAAGCCTCCCGAGTGGCGCAGCGGTCTAAGGCACTGCATCACAGTGTTGCGGCCGTCACTACAGCCTGGGGTTCGTTCCCAGGCTGTGTCATAACTGGCCGTGACCGGGAGTCCCATAGGGTGGTGCACGATTGGCCCAGCGTCATCCGGGTTAGGGGAAGGTTTGGCCAGTGGGGCTTTACTTGGCTCATTGCGCTCTAGTGAATCCTTGTGGTGGGCTGGGTGCCTGCAGGCTGACCATGGTTGTCAGTTGAACAGTGTTTCCTCTGACACATTGGTGCAGCTGGCTTCCGGGTTAAGCGAGCGGGTGTTAAGAAGCGCGGCTTGGCAGGTCATGTTTCGGAGGACGCATGACTCGACCTTCGCCGATCCCGTTGGGGAGTTGCAGCAATGAGACGTAATCATGAAATTGGGGAGAAAAATATTGCAGAGTAGAGCGACGCAAGTGGCTGCACCCACACAGAGGATTTATGAATCTAGCTCATTTTATGTAAATTACCTGTGCCCTGTCCGGTGTGGGTAGTTCCCTCTTCGTCCTCACTGGGCTCGGCTGGCAGCACGGTGACCTTGGTGCCAGTCTGCTGGATAAACTGCTGCAGGTTGACCTGTCTCAGCTCCTTGGTCAGCTGCTCCAGCTCATGCTGCATGTCCTGGAGGGGAGATACAGATTGATCAACGATATAAATCCATATTTTTTGCCATCTGTATTTACTCAAACGTATAATCTGATTGCAGCTATACTGACTGGTCATCTGTTCCTGGGGCCTCATTTATCAACCATGCAAAAACATCTCACTAAATTCTGGCATACGTGGAGATTCTAGGATTCGTACGCAACATATACGCATATTTTCATTTATAAATCAGAGACGTATTATATTTGTGCGCCCGTGAAGGAGCGTTACAACCCTGCCTAGAAAATGCCCTCCATTCACCTTTCATAGTAACAAAAACACCCTAATTTTATGTATGGTTTGGAGATCCCGTGTGGCTCAGTTGGTAGAGCATGGTGCTTGCAACGCCAGGGTTATGGGTTTGATTCCTACGGGGGACCAGTATGAAAATGTATGTACTCGCTACTGGATAAGAGCGTCTGCTAAATGACTGAAATGTGATGCAACCAACTCTTTAGGGCGGTGAAGAGCGTTGGGCCAGTAATTGTAAGGTCGAATCCCCAAGCCGACTAGGTGAAAAAAATCTGTCGATATGCCCTTGAGCAAAGCACTTGACTAGGTGAAAAGTCTATCGATGTGCCCTTGAGAAAGGCACTTAACCTTAATTGCGCCTATAAGTCACTGTGGATAAGAGTGTCTGCTAAATTCCTTAAATGTAAACATTTGATGTAACTGGGCCATGACAGTTTCTAAAAGAAATGGCAAATTTGCTCACATTTTTGTAGAAGTGTGGGCAGAATGTTTCAATCTCACTAACCAGGTTTCCATCCAACCTTTTTATGCAAGTAACGTATATGTCTGATAAAAAGAAAAGTCATGACAGGCTTGAGGAAACACCAAATTTGTCGGTAAACTTTCCAAATGTAGACAAAACAAAATACGCTAGAGAAGCGGGGATCTTTTTGTGTCTATAAAATGTATTATGTGAGAAATGGCGGTAGAAACGCTTTTATGCGCAAATATTGATATAATAACCATCATATCGAAGTAAACTTGGAGTCACGCGATGACAAGTCTGTGTGGTCCTCCGACTACGACTAGGGAAAGCATACAGTTTGTTAGGCTACAGATTAAATAAATTATGATGAACTTCACAGGGTGGTGAAAGTGAAAGGTGATGAACTTCATGCTCCTTTCCAATAAATATCTATGGTCTTATTCTGGTGACATGATGATCGATGCCTGGCTGCCATTTGACAAATAATAATCTCGCTCTTTTGTCCATAATAATCTCATCATGTAGGCTATACCCACATTGTATCTGCGAGCTGTTGGTTAAGATGCACGTGCCAATACCAGAGTGGGCACATTCGCTATATAATGCAATTTCCTGTGACAAAACCATCAGTAGAGTTGAAACCCATTTAACTTGTATTTGTTATCCAGTACATGGGAATTTAACTGCAAAAGTGTTTTTATGTGCACTATCTCATCACGCACAGACTTTTATCCGCAACAAGTCAATTTAAAGGAAATACATCTCTGGTGGGAAAATGTTTTTATTTTTCGGATGAAAATCTGTCGCCAATTGGATGGAAACCTAGCTATAAATTTTTTTTTAATGCATGCTGCCCATAGTGAGTGCCAAACATTGGCCATGCATTCTACAAGATTGTTTGTCTATTCGAACAATTTAAAAGTAAATGCTACAGCTCACACTATGCAAAATACAAATTGTTGTTCAATATTTTGTTTATCAATAGATTATTGTGTTTCTATCTCCTGCCGTGGTATAGGCTCTGAGATTAAATAGGCTATGATGTCCCGCTCCTATCGCACAGCAATACTGTAGCCTACCCATATTGTCAAATTTCTTAAATAGGCTACCTGTCTATTTACTTTCGAGCATGCTTGGCTATTGAATGAGTGATGGATAAATGGTAGCCTAATATTGTAAGAGTTTATTTCCAAAACTCTATATATCCATTTTCAAATGTTGGTAAATTAGCTTTTATTGTTTAAAACTTAAGAAAACGATAGGTGTTTTTTCACTATCTAATCATGCCATTTGGATGTTCAATGACAACTATGTATTTGTTTAAAATGTATCACATGATGGTTTCATTTCAGATTAGACAAATAATCCAGTTTTTTTGCAGAACGCTATATATCCGCCTCACTCTCAGAGAAATAAGTAGTACTGCTAAGTTCCTGTAAGGGCCATCATCACCCTTCCTATGACCTCATGTAGTGTTGAGAGACTCTTCTCCATTACATGATGTATCAAAACATTCATCAGATCTTGCATGCTGACTGCATGCCTTTGAAAGGGAACTCAGTGACTCTTTGGACTATGATGAAATAATCTCCATCTTCAACACCAACGTGAAACACACAAGAAAGGTAAGACTGAATATGGTTTATGATTTAGCCTAATGTTTTCATGCCTGCCTTGGTAAGTCAGGCTTATATGTGTTTGATTCTAAGTGAGCTACTGTATTCATACCTGCTATGGTATTAGGCTATGTATGATGATTTTATGTTTTTATTCCTGCCTTGGTAGGCCAGGTTTATGTTTGTTGATTCAAGTGATTTTTATGGCAGCTGCTCTCGACAATTTCGTTTTAAAAAATTCATAATTGGATATGAATTGAAAGAAAATAAAGAAAATGTCCCTTATAAGGGCCTCTTCACTCTCCCTATGTCCACGTAGTGCTATGTCCTGTTTATCGCATAGCATAACTATGTCCAGAACCACTTTGACGTGATCACGATTACTCTCTACAAATGAATAGTCCCTGGCCTCGCGGTTAAATTTATATAAAACATTACCCAGGCTTTGATTGCGATGGCTTGCAATAAAACTGTCCATACCACTTCCATGAGAAACACCGCGATTTTCCATTGAACACTGTAGTGGGGAACACTCGCATTTTTGGTTTTGTGGGTGGTTCGTCAACTGCAGACAAGTGGTGATTGCGATATAACCAATTAGATCCCAGGAACCTCCTACTGCATTTTTCAACATTTCTAATTAGTCAGGAGACAATTCAAACATAAACTCAAATTCATTTAGTACATTTTTTAAATATATTTTAAGCTAGCCTGATTGGGTGGGCCAGTGTTCAATCTGGCAGGGCTCTGCCAAGCCAGGCCCTGCCGTGGCTTCGCTTCTGGTATGTACTGTATATGTAGAAGCACTATATGTGTTTCTACATCCCTTTGTTCATGTGTACGCTCATGCATCAGTGTGTGTGTGTATGTTAATGCATGTGTCAATGCCTGTGTCTGACCTGCAGTCTCTTGCCACTCTGGCCGAGGGACCTGTCCACGGCTCTGCAGCTGCTTTCCAGCTGGACAGACTGTCTGTCCTGGGCCTTGAGCTCCGTGCGGGCCCTGAGTACCTGCGCCCTGGCCTCCACCTCGCTCACCCTCTGAGTCTCCTGTCTCTCCCTCTGCAGACGCTCCTCCTCCAGACCCGCCTCTACACCCTGATACACAGACAGGTTTGAGTTTTAGACCAATAGGAGTAAATGGTTAGGAGAACATATGCTTCCCAGCACCCTAGCTACATCATCGGTTTTGCTGGTAGACTGTTATATAGACCAGGGTTTCCCAAACTCGGTCCTGGGGCCCCTCCTGGGTGCACATTTTGGTTTTTGCCCTAGCACTACACAGCTGACTCAAATAACCAACTCATCATCAAGCTTTGATTATTTGCATCAGCTGTGTAGTGCTAGGGCAAAAACCAAAACCTGCACCCAGGGGGGGCCCCAGGACAGAGTAAAGGAAACCCTGATATAGATGGAAGTGCATAGAAAGGCACAGTGAGAAATTCAGAGAGAGGATAGGCATTATCTGTCTTTAAAATGATGATGCAAGGTGCCTGCACACCTTTAATGTTATGTGATTATAACAATTTATAAAACTGATTGGAGCGTCCAGGGTTTTTCTTTATTTTCTACATTGTAGAATAATAGTGAAGACATCAAAACTATGAAATAACACATATGGAATCATGTAGTAACCAGTATAAAATATATTTTATATTTGAGATTCTTCAAAGTAGCCACCCTATGCCTTGATGACAGCTTTGCACTCTCTTGGCATTCTCTCAACCAGCTTCATGAGGTAGTCACCTGGAATGCATTTCAAGTTAATTTATGGAATTACTTTCCTTAATGTATTTGAACCAATCAGTTGTGTTGTGACAAGGTAGGGGTGGTATACAGAAGATAGCCCTATTTGGTAAAAGACCAAGTCCATATTATGGCAAGAACAGCTCAAATAAGCAAAGAGAAACGACAGTCCATCATTACTTTAAGACATGAAGGTCAGTCAATCTGGAACATTTCAAGAACTTTAAAAGTTTCTTCAAGTGCAGTCGTAAAAACCATCAAGGAAGACCCAGAGTTACCTCTGCTGCAGAGGATAAGTTCATTAGAGTTAACTGCACATTAGATTGTAGCCCAAATAAATGCTTCACAGAGTTCAAGTAACAGACACATCTCAACATCAACTGTTCAGAGGAGACTGCGTGAATCAGGCCTTCATGGTCGAATTGCTGCAAACAAAAACACTACTAAAGGACACCAATAATATGAAGAGACTTGCTTGGGCCAAGAAACACAAACAATGGACATTAGACCTGTGGAAATCTGTTCTTTGGTCTGATGAGTCCAAATTTGAGATTTCTGGTAGATGCAGAGTAGGTGAACGGATGATCTCCACATGTATGGTTCCCACCGTGAAGCATGGAGGAGGAGGTGTGATGGTGCTTTGCTGGTGACACTCTCTGTGATTTATTTAGAATTCAAGGCACACTTAACAAGTACGGCTACCACACCATTCTGCAGCGATACGCCATCCCATCTGGTTTGGACTTAGTGGGACTATCATTTGTTTTTCAACAGGGCAATGACCCAAAACACACCACCAGGCTGTGTAAGGGCTATTTGACCAAGAAGGAGAGTGATGGAGTGCTGCATCAGATGACCTGGCCTCCACAATCACCCGACCTCAACCCAACTGAAATGGTTTGGGATGAGTTGGACCGCAGAGTGAAGGGAAAGCAGCCAACAAGTGCTCAGCATATGTGGGAACTCCTTCAAGACTGTTGGAAAAGCATTCCTCATGAAGCTGGTTGAGAGAATGCCAAGAGTGTGCAAAGCTGTCATCAAGGCAAAGGGTGCTACTTTGAAGAATCTCAAATATAAAATATATTTAGATTTGTTTAACACTTTTTTGGTTACTACATGATTCCATATGTGTTATTTCATAGAGTTGATGTCTTCACTATTATTCTACAATGTAGAAAATAGTCAAAATAAAGAAAAACACTTGAATGACTAGGTGTGTCCAAACCTTTGACTGGTTTGTGCAAAGGAAGCGGCACAGGTCCTAATCCAGGCACTTGTCATCTCCCGGCTGGACTACTGCAACTCGCTGTTGGCTGGCCTCCCTGCCTGTGCCATTAAACCCCTACAACTCATCCAGAATGCCGCAGCCCGTCTGGTGTTCAACCTTCCCAAGTTCTCTCACGTCACCCCCCTCCTCCGCACACTCCACTGGCTTCCAGTTGAAGCTCGCATCCGCTACAAGACCATGGTGCTTGCCTATGGAGCAGTGAGGGGAACGGCACCTCTGTACCTTCAGGCTCTGATCAGTCCCTACACCCAAACGAGGGCATTGCGTTCATCCACCTCTGGCCTGCTGGCTCCCCTTCCTCTGCGGAAGCATAGTTCCCGCTCAGCCCAGTCAAAACTGTTCGCTGCTCTGGCACCCCAATGGTGGAACAAGCTCCCTCACGACGCCAGGACAGCGGAGTCACTCACCACCTTCCGGAGACATTTGAAACCTCACCTCTTTAAGGAATACCTGGGATAGGATAAAGTAATCCTTCTACCCCCCCCCCCCCCAAATTGTAAAGTGGTTATCCCACTGGCTATAGGGTGAACGCACCAATTTGTGAGTCGCTCTGGCTAAGAGCGTCTGCTAAATGACGTTAATGTGCCCTTGAGCAAGGCACTTAACCCTAATTGCTCCTGTAAGTCGCTCTGGATAAGAGCGTCTGCTAAATGACTAAAATGTAAAATGTAAATACTGTATGTCGGGCCGAAAAACTGCATTTACCTGTGACTGTATTCATAATACAGCATTGCCTCTTGTGCCTTAATGCATAATTATACCACGCCGGCATTGTTAAATACTCATTTCTGATTTGCTTGAAGAGCATTCTTCAAGCAAATGGCAATCTGCAAAAGGTTAGTGCCACTCCGCTGTGCGTCATGCCCACGGCCGGCCCGCTCATTAGGCAGGATTAGGTGGCTGCCTGTGGAGGCAGATTGACAACAGCTGCATTTTCTGAGCTAAACTGACAAAGACGCACCTCCAACAACAACACATAAAACCTCACATAATTCTGCCCAAAAACAATGACAATTTCTCTCAACCAGTGAGTGGCATGTGGGCTTTTTAGGTGAGCACCGAAGCCGCCCTTTGATAAGCAGTGCCCACTTTCTCAAAGGCAGGGGGGGGGAATTATTTTGCTTGTCCATTCCCAGCGTGCCTCTCCAGGGTGCTGTTGGAGAGACGCATCTCTGCAGCACTCCACCAACATTCAGTCAAAAAATTATCTAACATAAATCATGTAGCAGATATAGGATATGGTAGAAAGAGTACTGTATGTGGCCTTTTCTGTCGCCTACAGGCTGGAGATAAAATGTATGACAATGTAATGAGACGGCGCTCAATCGACAACAAAAAAACACTGTCATGTTAACAAACAATATATCCTAAAAACAGTACAGGTCAAAGTAAAATGGACAATATGGAATGGACAATCACAACTTTTGTCCAGGAGTTTCACCCAATTTTCATGATCAGTGGTTTCAAATGTGTATCCGTCAACTTCAAAGAAAAAGCCATATCTCAGACTGGCCAATAAAAATAAAAGATTAAGATGGGCAGTCTGAGATATGGCTTTTTCTTTGCCACTCTGCCTAGAAGGTCAGCATCCCGGAGTCGCCTCTTCACAGAGACTGGTGTTTTGCGGGTACTATTTAATGAAGCTGCCAGTTGAGGACCTGTGAGGCGTCTGTTTCTCAAACTAGACACTCTAATGTATTTGTCCTCTTGCTCAGTTGTGCACCGGGGCCTCCCACTCCTCTTTCTATTCTGGTTAAAGCCAGTTTGTGCTGTTCTGTGAAGGGAGTAGTACCAGCGTTGTACGAGATCTTCAGTTTCTTGGCAATTTCTCGCATGGAATAGCCTTCATTTCTCAGAACAAGAATAGACTGACGAGTTTCAGAAGAAAGTTATTTGTTTCTGGCCATTTTGAGCCTGTAATAGAACCCACAATTGCTGATGCTCCAGATACTCAACTAGTCTCAAAAAGGCCAGTTTTATTGCTTCTTTAATCAGCACAACAGTTTTCAGCTGTGCTAACATAATTGCAAAAAGGTTTTCTAATGATCAATTAGCCCTTTAAAATGATAAATTTGGATTAGCAAACACAACGTCCCATTGGAACACAGGAGTGATGGTTGCTGATAATGGGCCTCTGTACGCCTATGTAGATATTCCATAAAAAATCAGCAGTTTCCAGCTACAATAGCCATTTACAACATTAATAATGTGCTTTTCTTTCGAATTACAAGGACATTTCTAAGTGACCCCAAACTTTTGAACGGTAGTGTACGTATTTTCAACATCCGGAAAATAAGTATTTTCAACTTTCATTCAGAACCGAAAATGAACCTGATTTCCATGTCCGGAAAATACATATTTTTTACAGTCCGGAAAAGATGCCTTTTCAACGTCCTGCAAAATATGTATTTCAAACATATGGAAAATACCTTTTCACCTTTCATTCAGAACCGAAAAGGAACCTGATTTCCATGTCCGGAAAATACATATTTTTTACAGTCTGGAAACGATGCCTTTTCAACTTCCTGGAAAATGTGTATTTTAAACATACGGAAAATACCTTTTCACCTTTCATTCAGAACCGAAAATGAACCTGATTTCCATGTCTGGAAAATACATATTTATTACCGTCCGGAAAAGATGCCTTTTCAATGTCCTGGAAAATATGTATTTTAAACATACGGAAAATACCTTTTCACCTTTCATTCAGAAATTAAATTGAACTTAACATCAACGTCTGGAAAATACTTATTTCATTTTGCTTACTGGGACTATTCTAGTCTATTCACTATTCACATCATGCATTATTTTCCAGAGAGAGCATAGCCCCTTACACAATACACAACAGAAATTGTAACATTTATGGGCGCAATAATAGTGTCCATGCCACTTGATCATACAGTATCTAATTAATGCCCATGGGTCATAAATCCGAAGTGTGTCCCACCCACCTGTACCAGAGCCATCCTGTCCCCCAGCTCGACCTCAGCGCACTGAAGACGCCCTCTCAGCTCCTCAAGCCTGTCCTCCAGCTGCCTCTCACTCTCCAGCTCAATCTGCAGCTCGCTGGCCCAGAACTCCTCCTCCTCCATTTCCACCTCGTTCTTCCTCAGTCGTCTCTCCAGCCTCCCTATCTCCTCCATCAGCCCCCCTGCTCCTCTGGCCTCCTCTCCCCCTCCGCCTCCTCGTCCACCCCAGGTCTGCAGTTCAGCCTCGTAGGCCTCCAGCCTCTTCTCCAGCACGCCAAGAGTTTCTCTCTGGAGCCCCACCAGTCTGACCAGGTCCTCCATGCGGCAGGCCCACATGCCAGGGGACACTGCCCCTCCTGGGGCTACCGCTGTGGCTGCTGCTGCTGCATGGTGGTGGTGGTTCTGGTTCCCACCGTTCCCCTGGAGTAGGAGTCGTCGTTTGGTCTCGAACTCCCTCCCCTCCCCTGCCCGGCCTCCACTCAGGATGTCTCGGAGGCCCCGGGGCCCACCGGTGAAGGTCAGGGACTTGCGGCGTGGCTCGCGGCGATAGAGGGCGTGCTCGCTGGGGTGGCGGAGCTTGGCGAGCGGCGGGAGGCTCTGCCGGTGGAGGCCGCGCTCCGGGCCCCGGAGTAGGGGACCCTCGGAGGGGGGCCGTTCGGTCAGGGAGGGGCCCGTGCGGTGCAGGATCAGCTGGACGTCACCGGCATACTGGCCCCAGGTGTTGAGGGATGCCACGGGGCTCTCGTGGGGGGCCAGGTGGCGCTCTGTGTCCCGCCATTTCTCCACCAGTGTATAGCGCCCAGTGCGGCCTGGGAAAAAAAGATAGGACAAGTTCAGTTATGTCAGCTTTTGTGTATGTTTTAGTATATGTTTTGTGCATAGTTTTGTGTATGTCTTCTCAGCTGAATAATAGCTATCTTTGTAATCATATTTCATGTGGATCAATAGGATAACTATCAGTGCATTGTCAGCTATTAAAAAGCGCAATGCGAATATATATGAGTCTTGAATAATTTAACATCTATCTATTAACAGAGATTAATAACCCTGTTAGCTTATTTTAGGTACTATGATATTTGCTTTAGTGGACATTTTATTTTAGTGTGACATTTTATTTTCCATTTTCCAATTTTCACACAAGAAACAAGGCCAAAGAGACTGAGGCAAACCCCCTGATACACACAGTCTCTTGCCAATGCTGGTCCCAACTAGAGATAAACCCCAAAAACCTAACATTAATTTCGTCATTAGACATTTGTACTGTATATAGGAACCTCTATATGAAAAGTAGGAAAGGAGGGAAGAGAGGAGGAGAGGAGGGGGATTTAGTCAGTGGTTCTGCATCCCCCTGCCTGCGAGAGATGGAGGGATGACTCAGACTTTCCCTCCTCCCGCCTGCCCCACGCTTAATGGGAAGTGATGTCAATACAGTCTGCTCCATTCCTCTTCTCTCACTGAGAGAGAGGGGAATGGAGGGATGGATGGAGGGGGTTTCTGACTAAGACCCTCTCTATCTCTAACTACAGCACCAGATTGAGGCGTAGGCAGGAGGAGAGGAACAAATATTAGTTTTCTGTAGTAAGCCTAATTGTAAGACAGCTCCTGATTTAAAATTTGAGTTTAATTAACCACCATTTCTTATACAAGCAAGTGGCGCAACGCATTACAACAGAGAATCAGTATATCCTCTTCACTGTCGCTATACTTGAGTACTACTATGTAACACTGGGCCATATTGCTACGCAGTCTCACAGGTAAATACTGTAGGTTAGGGATAGAGGTACATTATACTATCATTCTATTATTCAATATCATCCTTAACGAAGGGGAAAGTACATGCAGAAAACAAAGTATAGGCCTACATTCTTAAATGCTAATATTTCAAATATTAGTAGCCAACACACAAAGCCTTTGTTAAAGAGATTTTCCGGAAGTTTTGAATAATTTCAGCCAGTAATTTTGAAAGTAGCGCTCACAAGCCAAAGCAGGTCTTTGTATACAATATCACATCATTGTTCTCGAGCCTCTGTAGCGTGTTCCCAAAGAGAGTAAAAAAAAACTATGTGGTGTTCATGTTGGGTGTGCATGTTGGGCTCACCCCACAACTTCATTGGACAATACTGGACCGACCTGATCCCACCTCCCACTTTAACCATGCAATCTCATTGGACATCATTCCAACTGCAAATCAAACATTGTCCATCACGTTTGGTTGTTGCAGGCCAGTTCCCGAATTCCAGTAGTTGCATGGATGGTCTCATCAGACTAGTATGGAAAATGAGCAAGCGAATGTGAAAATTTTATTTTATACAATGGAAAAGTTGCATCAAATGTCCTACTCCTTGAAAGTCATGTATTGATTATATATAGCATTGGCCTACGTGATGAATGATGATCGCTGGCAGTTCAACTGCAGTGTTGGATTATTACTCCATATCATGGAATACCTGTGTGAACATTTATAAGGACAAAAGGTGGACACATGGAATTATTTGATTCAGATGGATGGTTGACACAGAAAGTTAGGGCCAATATTCTATTGTCTAAAAAGTGGGTGAAAGTTTGCTTCAGTATGCATTTCTTGAGCGCATCAATATGTGTGTTCTGCCGTGATTGGCGAACGGGACAAATGAATGGACGCATGCCTGGTTAAAACCTTATAGCCTATTGTGCAATATATTCCAAAATTCACCAGTGACACGATTTAGAAGCTAAAAGTTTGCCAGCACAGTGTTTCTGATCGGCAGGGCCGTGCACAGACCTTTGGAGGGGCAGGTGCTCAAAGTTAAAAAGGGCACCTGCTCCCAAAAAACACACACACCAAAATTAAATAATACCTGTTGATTTTAAATTATTACATTCATAGCAAATCATCTAATGCACCTGTAGCCAAATTTCAACATATATTTTTTAGCATAGGCCTTTATTTTCTGCAAAATCAAACTCCTCCCAGCAAGTTAACAGCCTACTGCTCAAAGAGAGGGCAAAGAGGGGTGGGCTATCAGCTGATCATAGCGAATGTAGATTATGTAAATCAGCAAGTTAGTTATGTTGAAACTAACTAGTCTTTACCTGTGATTGGAGTTTATTCTGCTGCTGGCATCTGCCTCGTAGGTCTACTAATAAACCAACAAACAGTCGAATTGAAGCATTCCCCATGAGATGATAGCAGGACTCTATACTTTTTTCATCACCGTCCCAGAATCGTCCCGAAGTGCAATTTCAACCGTACCAAACTGAAGATGAACGTCCCAAATTAAAATATACTGTACATGGGTCTACTCTAGGACCTAGGTCATTCACAGTGATTTAAAAGGCTAATACTACTGAAATAGTAAATGGGTCTGTCAACTGAGCCAGAAATTCACATAAAAAACATGCCTCTAAAAAGTCCAACATTGGCATAATATTATAATCTATTTTGCATAAATGTACATAAATATTTTTCACCTAGGTGATATGTGTATTGGCTACAGCCTCTCATATCCACACCGATGCTGACATGAGGCACCAGAAAATGTAGCCAAACTTTAATGAGACTTTAAATTACATAAATATAGGTTCAATGCCAGTCATGTTTGACAAATTGAATGTAGGATAATTAACATCAACGTCTAAAGGCTTGATTCTGTTCATACTATCGAAATACTCGATGCATGGTTCATTCAGATCAAATGGTCACAAGAGCGGAGAGAAAGGCCAGTGCCTGTTGCACACCGCAAACATCAACCAACTTTTTGAAACTATTTAACCATAAACTTAATTGTTTAAAACCTGGAGGTTTTATGTCCTTTTATGAGGCATGTCTTACCTTGTTTCAAAGTAGCCTAGCCAAAATCAGACCATAGAAATGTTGAGAGAATTATTTTATAAACACTTCCTTATGCCATTGAAAACAGCATTTCTCCCATGTGCTATTGGTTTTCAAATCAACTTTCTTTCATTGTCCAGCAGCCAAAGACACAATCCTAGTCATATAAGCAACCCACGCTAGTTGTTGTATCTTTAGATCTCCCCTCTTTCAACATTTTGATATTTTCATCTCTGTCACATGAAACCGCTCACATGTGCGGTGCGCTTTTTAGAACATGTGTTCCCGCTAATTCCATTTTGGAATGTTCGCGCTTAGCCTACTGCCGTGTGCGCATTGCTGCGCTTATAATGTGAAGAAATAATAGTTTATCAATATTTTAAGGTAAACCTTCTGATCTGTTGCATCAACCTCATTGCTTTAAAAAAATTAAATGATGTACAGTGATTGTATGAATTTTGGATCTATCATCCCAGAACTGTCCCAGAGTCTGTTTTGAACCATCCCAGACATATGTTTTATCGTCCCGGGATGCCCTGAATTTCGAGCCCTGGCCGGTAGCCTCTGCCTGCAGGACGAGTGCAGTCAGTGTGCCCTCAAGTGGGGACAGAGGAATGGGATTAACAAATGAGAAATTAGCTAGTTTGATGGGGAATTCATTTAAATAAGAGAGGAAATAGACTAAAAGTTAAATAAAAATGTAATAATAAAATATTGCCACGAATCTGAAAGGGCACTTTTCTCATAGAATTGAAAAATACCTCTATCTGTGCACATACCTGCTGATCGGGTTGACATCGACATCTTTAGCGCACAACATTTGCTGGTTCGCAGAAATGTATTGAAAGAGAGAAATGCAACTACTACAGAGGTCTAATAGATCTAACTTCTAATTTTGGATGCTTTCTAACTTCTGATGCATGAAATTGATCGATTTATTCAGTGTATTTTCGCTGTTATCAAAATAACTAATGGTAAGCGCATGCAGCCACTAATCCCACTTGCTTCAGAGCACGCATTCACTACATGACAGGAACGAGCATGTAGATTTCATGCACTAAATGATGGCAGGTTAGAATGTAAGGATTCTGTGCCCCTTTCCGCTGGCAGAGGACTGTAGATAATTTATTATGCATGTATGAGCCATACAAAGTCCAAAATGGGAGGTTTAAAAAATAACGAGGTCGTTTTCAATCCTCCGGAATATGTCTTTAAGAGTCATAGGTCAGAGAACACTCACCTATGGCCTGAGCCAGAGCGATGACCACTTCCTGGCAGGTGGTTGCCTCGGTGACCCCACAAACAACCCTCTGGACCCCGTCCACCCAGACCTTGAGCTCCATGATGGGTCAGGTGAGTCAGGTCAGGTGACTCAGGTCAGGTGCTGCGAGGGGGCCGGCTGCGGTGGGTTGGCCCCGTCATTCCTGGAAGCTCCAGCGGTGCAGGGTGGCTCCAGCTGCAGCACCTCTGGCCACCAACTCACTGAGGAGGAAGAACACAGAGCAAATCAGGAAGGACCTGGTCAGGAAGCAGCACATTTAAGAGGACAACGTTGTTTTGGTTTGTTGAACTCTCTGCCCAGAACTGCACAAAACTGGTCAAAACTGGACCAAATTATGTAATTTCAACCAGTTTTTACCCAACTGGGATGGATCTTTTGAATTGTGTAAACCTATTTCTTCGTTACATGTAGGAGTTGTTGTCAGTATAGTCTGTGATGAGTCAGGTAGTAGAAATGGGAGATAAGCTAATTCATCATGGCCTGAAAACAATACCAGCCTGAAAATGTGTGCCACTATTTTTAGCGGCTGTTGTGGAAAAGGAGGGCGGCTCAAAAGGTTGGGGAATGCTAGAACCGTCCAGCCGTCCAGCCATGCATACTAGGACCAGCTGGAAATGAAATTGTTGTTTTCATTCCAGCTCTGTGAATAGGTAAATGTCTTTAGGGGGGTTGGACAGAAAGAGCCTGCTAGTACTGATGCTCTGAGCCAAGTTCCTGCTATTGTACGGAGACTCAAGATGAAACAACGGTGAGGAGAATGCAGGAAGATGGCATCAGTGAAATGGAGAGAGGGAGAGCAGGAAAAGTGTGTGAAATATGAAATGGGGAGGGCAGGATGAGAGACTGCAACAGAGGAGGGAGGGAGAGAGGGAGAAGGAGGAGGAGGGGAACAAGGACTTTATTTTTGATGTCTCAGAGTCAAGGGTCTCGTATTTTGCTGCAGATGTGGCAACTTTGTATGTTTGTGTGTCTGGCTTGATTTGATGAGGAACATTTGATGAGAATCTATCTTTAGGGATGTTTTCTGTATAATGCTATGTGTGTTGTTTACTATATGAGCTTCAAAATACAGGTAACTGCCAAAATAAAGGAAACACAAACATAAAGTCATCTTAATAAGGCGTTGGGCCACCACGAGCTGCCAGAACAGCTTCAATGCACCTTGGCATAGATTCTACAAGTGTCTGGAACTCTATTGGAGGGATGCGACACAATTCTTCCACGAGAAATTCTATCATTTAGTGTTTTGTTAAGGCTGGTAGAAAACGCTGTCTCAGGTGCCGCTCCAGAATCTCCCATAAGTGTTCAATTGGGTTGAGAGCTGGTGACTGAGACACACACACACACACACACACACACACACACACACACACACACACACACACACACACACATCCTTTAAACCCCCTATGCTCTTTTAAGACCCCTGTTTCAAAGTCACAGATCTCTTCTTCTAGCCATGGTAGCCAAAATAATGGACAACTGGGCATTTTTATACATAACCCAAAGCATGATGAGATGTTAATTGCGTAATTAACTCAAGAACCACACCTGTGTGGAAGCACCTGATTTCAATATACTTTGTATTCCTTAATTTACTCAAATGTGTTTATTTTATTTTGGCAGTTACCTGTAGCTTCACTGTAGTAATCCAATGAAGTATGTGGTAAAGACATTCATTTTGAACCACATTCATCTCCCAGTCAAGTTAATTCCAGACAAAATGAACAAGACTGCTTTTGTGACTGTAGTAGACACTCAGCCTGGTGTCAAATGATGAGAGAGTGGGAAAAAGCATGACCAGTGGCCTTGGTCCATGCAGTCTGGCATATTCTATATTCCTTCCTGCACATTTACATTTACATTTTCGTCATTTAGCAGACTTACAAATTGGTGCATTCACCTTATGATAGCCAGTGGGACAAACACTTTACAATTAATATTATTTTTTTATTTTTTTGGGTGGGGTAAGGGGGGGTAGAAGGATTACTTTATCCTATCCCAGGTATTCCTTAAAGAGGTGGGGTTTCAAGTGTCTCCGGAAGGTGGTGAGTAACTCCGCTGTCCTGGCGTCGTGAGGGAGCTTGTTCCACCATTGGGGTGCCAGAGCAGCGAACAGTTTTGACTGGGCTGAGCGGGAACTGTGCTTCTGCAGAGATAGGGGGGCCAGCAGGCCAGAGGTGGATGAACGCAATGCCCTCGTTTGAGTGTAGGGATTGATCAGAGCCTGAAGGTACGGAGGTGCCGTTCCCCTCACAGCTCCGTAGGCAAGCACCATGGTCTTGTAGCAGATGCGAGCTTCAACTGGAAGCCAGTGGAGTGTGCGGAGGAGCGGGATGACGTGAGAGAACTTGGGAAGGTTGAACACCAGACGGGCTGCGGCGTTCTGGATGAGTTGTAGGGGTTTAATGGCACAGGCAGCCCAGCCAACAGCGAGTTGCAGTAATCCAGACGGGAGATGACAAGTGCCTGGATTAGGACCTGTGCCGCTTCCTGTGTAAGGCAGGGACGTACTCTGCGAATGTTGTAGAGCATGAACCTACAGGATCGGGTCACCGCCTTGATGTTAGCGGAGAACGACAGGGTGTTGTCCAGGGTCACGCCAAGGCTCTTTGCACTCTGGGAGGAGGACACAACGGAGTTGTCAACCGTGATGGCAAGATCATGGAATGGGCAGTCCTTCCCCGGGAGGAAGAGCAGCTCTGTCTTGCCGAGGTTCAGCTTGAGGTGGTGATCCGTCATCCACACTGATATGTCTGCCAGACATGCAGAGATGCGATTCGCCACCTGGTTATCAGAAGGGGGAAAGGAGAAGATTAATTGTGTGTCGTCTGCGTAGCAATGATAGGAGAGGCCATGTGAGGATATGACAGAGCCAAGTGACTTGGTGTATAGCGAGAATAGGAGAGGGCCTAGAACTGAGCCCTGGGGGACACCAGTGGTGAGAGCACGTGGTGCGGAGACAGATTCTCGCCACGCCACCTGGTAGGAGCGACCTGTCAGGAAGGACGCAATCCAAGAGTGAGCCGCGCCGGAGATGCCCAACTCGGAGAGGGTGGAGAGGAGGATCTGATGGTTCACAGTATCAAAGGCAGCAGATAGGTCTAGAAGGACGAGAGCAGAGGAGAGAGAGTTAGCTTTAGCAGTGCGGAGAGCCTCCGTGACACAGAGAAGAGCAGTCTCAGTTGAATGACCAGTCTTGAAACCTGACTGGTTTGGATCAAGAAGGTCATTCTGAGAGAGATAGCAAGAGAGTTGACTATAGACGGCACGCTCAAGAGTTTTGGAGAGAAAAGAAAGAAGGGATACTGGTCTGTAGTTGTTGACATCGGAGGGATCGAGTGTAGGTTTTTTGAGAAGGGGTGCAACTCTCGCTCTCTTGAAGACGGAAGGGACATAGCCAGCGGTCAAGGATGAGATGTTGAGCGAGGTGAGGTAAGGGAGGTCTCCGGAAATGGTCTGGAGAAGAGAGGAGGAGATAGGGTCAAGCGGGCAGGTGGTTGGGCGGGCGGCCGTCACAAGTCGCAAAATTTCATCTGGAGAGAGAGGAGAGAAAGAAGTCAAAGCATAGGGTAGGGCAGTGTGAGCAGGACCAGAGGTGTCATTTGACTTAACAAACGAGGATCGGATGTCGTCAACCTTCTTTTCAAAATGGTTGACGAAGTCATCCACAGAGAGGGGGGGGGGGGATTCAGCAGGGAGGAGAAGGTGGCAAAGAGCTTCCTAGGGTTAGAGGCAGATGCTTGGAATTTTGAGTGGTAGAAAGTGGCTTTAGCAGCAGAAACAGAGGAAGAAAATGTAGAGAGGAGTGAGTGAAAAGATGCCAGGTCCACAGGGAGTCTAGTTTTCCTCCATTTCCGCTCGGCTGCCCGGAGTCCTGTTCTGTGAGCTCGCAAGGAGTCGTCAAGCCACGAAGCAGGAGGGGAGGACCGAGCCGGCCGGGAGGATAGGGGACATAGAAAGTCGAAGGATGCAGAAAGGGAGGAGAGGAGGGTTGAGGAGGCAGAATCAGGACAATGGACCAAGGATAAAAAGTATATATGGAATTGCAAAATCAGATCAAATTAGGGACATTTCAAAGGAAAAACCATCTCAGCTGCATTGCAGTCCTCTTCAAGGAGAGTCTATGGAGAGTGGATGTATGGCCAGTGTCCAAAGCTGTGATGCCCCCTAGAGGGCTGACCTTCACACTGCACTGCTGAGCACAGAGCTCTATCCTCCTGCTGGTCACTTAACCCCCCTTCACACCTCCCCCACCCTCCTCCACCCCAATGGGTAATCTTCGTGTAATGTCATCTAGACCAGCCTCGGCATGCTGCTGTGCTTTACACACAGACGCACACACGCTTGCACGCACATACACACATGCACACACACACACACACTACCTCTCACATGGTGCTTTGCTAAAAACAGTGGGTCAAGAACACAAAACATCACTGCGAGATAAAATCAGTTCAGCTTAATAGAACTAGGTAGGGGCTTTGAGAGAACAATCTCTCTTTTTAGGGCCAGGCAAAGGGGGGTGGCAAACAAACCCTCTGTGTGTATGTGTGTGTCTCTGTGTGTGTGTCACCTTTGTCTCTTGCCTGGCTGATGATCTCTCTATTCCTGGCATATTTACAGCTGGTTAGGAAGTGCTTTTGTCCTTCATCCAGATTGCCCTTAAATGGCAGCAGAGTGCAGATAGAGGAATGGAGGGAAATGGGCTGTGAGTAACACACAAAGAGGACTCTGGGAGATTTTTCTGTACTGACCCATAACTCTGTCACTCTTTTGTTGACCTTTTTTTCCCAGGGGAGTGAAAAAGTGAATTGACACTGGAATACAGAATATACATGGCCAGCGCTCTAAATGAAAAAAATGTATTGGTAGCACTGGTGCTGCTAATTTAGAAAAGTTAGGAGCACCACATAAAATTCAGGAGCACCATAAAAATAGATTAGAAATTAATGTAGATATAGCCTACAGATGTAGGATCTTAATTTGAGCCAGTTTGCTACAGCAGGACAATAATACTGCAGCAACAGGAAATGTGAATTATTTTGTGGATTATAGTAA